AATTAATAACGTTGTTGAAAAATTGAAAAATTGAAAAATTGAAAAAAGATATTTCCTTCTATGATATTACCGTACTCTGGGTACTATATATATATATATATTTTACATTATATATACATATATACATTTATATATATATATATATATATATATATATATATATATATATTGTGCGTTATTTATGCATTACTAATGTTGTAAAATCAGTTAAATGTTTGGAATTATTAATATACTATAGAACGTTAGAAAATTTGGATACTCTTTTAAATGAATATTATTGATTAATATTCTTTATTTATTTATATAATACCAATAATATCTTTATGTAATTATGTTAAATTTGAACATTAAAATTAAGCGTCCATAGACGGTACATAAAATTCTTTTAAGAAACTTCAAATTACAGAACTGTTATTGCTAAGTAAAGGAACAATATTAATATCGGTCATCAAGCAAAGGAATCTTATTTAGGTTGCTCCAGATATATATGTCATCGAGGTTTGCAAATAAACGTGATATTTTCTGGATATTTCTGATAATTACAGTCACTATTACACGAAAATAAAAACGTTTTGATACAAATTATGGAATTAAAAAAATTAAAAAGAGATCGATATTGAGGTAACAAAAGTTTCCTTTGCGACAGTCATAATTTTATAAACACTCGTTAATTTAATAAATTTCAAAATGTAACTAGTTTTTAGTCGTCAGTTTTAGATAATAATTTAATTAAATAATCTGAAATCATAAACAATTTATAATTTTAAGTTCTGTTGAAATTTGTAGAAGTTACAAATTGGTATTTTAAAATAACATCTTTAATGATCAATATAATTTTCCTTTTGCGATGAATATGACTTTTATAAAAATTTTAATTTATATTGAAAGAATTATTCAATTTTTAACTAAATATATAAACAATAAATTCATAGACGTTAAATAAATGTTGATGTTTATATAAATGTGAATTATTAATTATATATAATATTTTAATATATATGTAGTTAATAAATATAACCATCACAAATTAATAATATATTTCATGAACTCAATTTTATAAAGATTATACTTTAGAAAATTCAATAAGTTAAGAAATAAAAGACATAGTTACACATAATCATAATAAAATACAATGTTGCCAATTCTAGTACTAGTAAAAAATACTAGTAATTTTTAAAAAAAATTCATATTTAATAATTTATTTATTTAATTATTATAGTATTTTGTAATTTTCTTAATTTAAAACATCTTATAAATACTAAAAATTAAATTTTTATTTTGAAATTTTATGATGAATTTTATATTTTAGATATAAAAAAAATACTTTAGATATGAAAATAAAATTAAGATATAAAAAAACCAAATGTAAAAAGAAAATTTTCAAAGTTTTTATTCTTAAATCATTCATAATAAAAACCTAGAAAATAAGTAACAAATAATTGCTTTTATAAAGTTATTATTAATTATTTTATACTTATTATCTCTTTTGTTAGTATTGATTTTTTATAATTATTTATAATTTATTTTTCAAATAAAACTATACATGATTAAAATGAGCAAACTTTAAAATTTACAATATAAATTTTTTATATGAAAATCAATAGTTTAAAAAAAATTATTTATTTATACAACGATTAATAAATGTATTAAAAAATTATTCAATTAATGTAAGAATATTAATAAAAATTAGATATTGAGATAAGATTTAATTTTATACATATGTTATCAAAGTAAAATATGATTCTTTTGAGCTGTGCTTCTTATATTTTTTATTGTATATATTCTATTTTTTTATACTTCTTATATATTTTAATATATAATATATATAATATATATAATATATTATATTTAATATATATAATATATTATATTTAATATATATAATATATAATCTTTAATACTTCTTATATATTGTACTTTTATATTGTTGTAACACTAAATTCAAAGAAAGAAAAAGCATTTTTGATTACATAAAATTTAATAAAAATATTATTTGAAAAAAAAATTTATAAAGTGTTTTCTACGTATTTATCAAAATTTTTTATATTATACACAAATAAAACGATTGTGTTTTTGACAACTTGATCTATTTGTATTCATGTATTTTAAAAATTATTTTGATGATCGACCATAAAAATTCTATAAATAATGTATACTAAAGTTATACTCTTATTTACAAATATAATACAAATCATTACTTTTGAATATAATAAAGATAAATATAAATAAACTTTAATTGATATTCATTACTTTTCAAATTAAACTACTGAAATACCTGATTATATGCAAGTTTTATATTTATTAATTACTCAATACGTTACTCATAAATAATATATCATAGAGTCTTTTATTCATGATGATTACAATCATTATCATATTTCATCATTATGATCACCATCGTTAGTAAAGTAGTATTAAAAACAGATAGTGATCGTATCTTTAAAATATTTGCTATTTGATCTTTGCTTTTTAGGTATTACTCTAGATAATACTATTTATTGTGTCATCTACAATACAATAATGTATAATTATATAATAATAGAAGTACTAGATTCACACAAAATTGAAAATCAGTAAAGGAGTATTATATAACTATTGGAAACGTATTATATTGTATTAAAATTTTAAAAGGGTAAGAGAAAAAATAAACGTAGTTATATAGTATTATAGGTTTGATTAAATTATGTATTGTTATTTGGCTGCAGCCAAATTTTTTAATCATTATTATTAGATTCTTTTTCTAGCATCTGCAATTGAGAGCATGATTATACAAAATTTAACTAATTTCAATAATACTGTAAAATTAAAAATACTTGCTTTGAATTTACGTTATTAAATAAAGGGATTACTTAGAAATAGGGTACTGAAAACTAACTTGATCAAAAATACGGATTATATTATTTTATTTTAATGATATATACATTTAATTATTAGAGAAGCTCCATTCAAAAGCATAATCATTTGTTTAATTATAATTTAATAGTTTCAATACAATTATATTTTGATGTTGATTTTATGCATGTTTAGTTCACACCGTGCTTTTTAATTTTTAGTCTAATGTATGTTAGAATTCTTTCATAATTGTATAAATGAAATTGAATAAAATTAATAATTTTATATTAAATTTATATCGTACATAATTCTACTATTGTATTTGTTTAACATAAAAACATTTTCCAATATTCCAAATAATTAATTTCATAGTGTCATATCCTATAAACAATAATATATATGTGATTATATAAGTAATAAAATATTATTTAAAAGAGAAAATATTTTTATATCTTCATTGTCATACTCAAATATACTTGAAAACAGTAGAATTGTAAAATAATAATACAAAAAATAAATACGTTGTTAGATGAACATCATATATGAACATACGGTATTTTAAGAAGATATAATAAAAGTTAAGTTTTCATTAATTTATAATATATATAACGAAACTCACTTATAAAATTATTTAAATGGATTGAATTTAAAAAAAAGAAAACATACGATTTTTGAAGCTACCAGCTATTGAAACAGTTTGGAACTGTTATAATTTTTTAAATTGTTGAACAATATATAGTTGTATTTGACATTACAACAATATCGATAATAAATGCAATAAAAATACGGAAAAAAGAATCCAAGAGTCCATTGTAATACAAATAGGTAAAAATATGAAAGCACAGTGAGTTCATCGCAGAGCTAAGGAAGGAGGGATGGGTATACAATCTGATAATAAAATTTTTTGTATAAAGGAGATGACCTAAGTGTATTTGTTCTCATTTTCATTAGCTTTTATTGTAGTATAGAGGACGAGATAATTAATTAAAGCTGGATGATGCTGACTATACCAGAAGGTTAACTGCCTGCTCATCATTAATATGTGTAGATTTAACGAAACACATCTAAGCCTCACAATAAAAATAAACAACTTCTTTATTTGTAATTGAAAAAACAATTTTTGAGGTCATTCAAAGATTTGCAATTTATTTTTTTTTTTTATCATTGCATTGCTGAAACATTTCGTCACTTTCAACAGTCTTCTTTCTTTACCTTAAATAAAAACATTGATCCAGCAATATTTAATTTAAATATTGGAATTCAATAAAAGTTTATAATAACATTAAAAATATCATTTTGAGCTTATGATTGCAATATTTAGAGAACGTAAATATGTACTCGAACTTATTGTATTTTTAATTGATTAGCAAGTATATTTAATCCCTAATTCATAATATATAACAATAAATCAATAATTCAAGTTCCAACGACTAGGACTGTAGACTTTTTACTTGCACGCCGCGTCATTTTTATTTGGTATGGGTAGACATATGTAAACATGCCCTCCCTTACGTACTTTTTAATTATAAGGTAACATGATTTTTACGATCCAACTTTTCTCAGGCGTACTTATACAATTGGCTCTAGAGAGGTACTTAATACTATAATCATTCTCAGTCGGATCATTCATCAGTCGGATTGACACTCACACTTCATACATTTCGTCTTTCTGTTAACTTTTGAGTACACAATAGTTCAAAATAAATGAAATTTTTATGTTTCAATTCACTTTTTTTCTAAAAAAGTATATTCAAAAGATTCAACATTCGATTTAATCCCAATGTGAAGACGCAGGCACACATATAGAGCTACGTTTATCCAATTATTTCAAAAAAAGTTAATGATAAATAATTGTATAATAATCAGTAAACCATATTTGAATAGATAATATAAATTGAAAAGACGTAAATGTAGGGTATTATAAAGATAACATGATAAGCAAAATAAAAAAAAACTCACTGGAAGAAATCGTATGCAAAAATGCATACAGTTGAGAGGGGGGAAAGATATCATTATTATCAAATGGTTACTTTTCATTACTTAAAGGGATAGTAATTTGACATTGAACCTCCAGGATTCGTGTGATAAACCTATAGTTGATTGTATACATATTTACATCGACACAACGCACAAATAAGATAAATATTTAAAAATGCATAATTCTCAGGTTCATTTTAGCGACGCATAATTTCCTCAATGGTGAAACCAAGTTTTGGTTGATGATGATGGATTGAGGATTGTCGCTGTTGTTGCTGTGACAATCGCATCTTTATTAGTTGGGCTGTCGTTTTATCCTGTTCAACAGCTTCTTGATGATAGCGATGCTCAGCTATGCGCAAGTCTTGGGGTACATCACTATGGCTCAGCAGATGAGTTTTTAAGTTGCTACGTTGATTGAAAGTGCGAGCACACACGGGACACTTATGCGGCGACTCTTCCATATGAAGGATCTTATGGACGGCGAGAGTGCGACTCTGGCAGAAGCCTTTGCCACATTCCCCGCACTTGAATGGCTTTTCTTTACTGTGGATATACCTAAGAAAAATTAATTGATAAATAATAGTTTTGTAAACAATCATGAAAAATAACAAATTTGTATAATTTAGTATTTAATATTAAAATTATTTATTGTTTATTAATTAATATTTACTTTATTTTGTCGTTGAATTCTGATCAAATAAATTTAAGTAAACAAAAGCACATACCGATGATCTCTGAGATGATCCTGCCTACGGAAGGCCTTGCCGCATATGTCGCATGAGTAGGGCCGTTCATCTGTATGCGTCCTCTCGTGAATAAGAAGGTTGTAACTCTTGGTAAACTGACGTTTACAGAACTTACAGATGAATTCCTTTTTAGGTCTCTGGCCGGGTAACCGGCGTGAGAGAAAGGAAGCTGCTGGTGATGACTGGACTGCCGTTAATGGATTTAAACCCATGTGAAGAGGTACACCTTGTTGGTGTTGGATAGGACTCACCGTTGGACAACAGCCACGCACTGCTAATAGAGCTGCGCCTCGGATCCAGTGATCAAGAAACGTAGCATGATACTGGTGATGCTGAGGATGCCAACGTATCTGATGCAGACTGCGTTGCTCATGACCAGAATTATGAGGTGGCGTATGTGGAGGTGTCAGGGGTTCCATCTTACTTAACTCTTATCTCTTTTCTATAGATTTCGTAAAGAACTATTATCTATCACTAACACTGACACGTTGAAATATGAACTTTTAAAAGTACAAAATGAAGAGAATCAATAACACTACGAAACTTTCTCTTCTACCTTTCAAAGAATACTGAGTGGGCTGGAAAGTAGAACTGACAGGCTCCGAGTTGCTGCCGTGTCGCCGCTGGTTGGAGCCCCTCCTCCCTTAGTAAGTGGTTGGTGCTTCAACCAGCCCAGTGGGGCGGAGCGTCGCCTAGTTGCTGGTCTGCAACCGTTGCTCACTGCGTTGCTGCTTCTTCGGAGATCTTTAGTGCTTGTTTTCTCCCCCTCTCTTCTCTTTCTCCAGCCCTTGCCGAACACCATTTAATGCAGGCTATGAAGTCAGTTTGATATGTCGTATAATCGTCATGGCTGCTTTCGTTTCTGTTCTGTGCCTTTCTTTAATTTACCTTACTTACTTATCGAACAACAACTAATATAGTTTGTATAAATCTTCTTATACTTTCTTAGTTCTCGCTAGAATGTTAAAACTTTCGGAATATACAAAGAAAAATTTAATATTGAATTGGATTTTTCTTTGCTCTTACAAACTTTAGATTCACATTATACTTAAAAAATTTTCTTCCTTGACAAAAAATGGGCTTTTTTATTTTTGACATTTTTAAAAAATTAGTTGATTTCAAAATTGAATTAATTTACATTTGTATAATGTGATATATTTGGAATATAGCAATACTTATAATTGATAAAATTATAAATCCTAAATAAATATTTATAAAAAGTAAAAATAAAAGCAATGAGTAAGCTTTTTAAATTTGATAAATTCTTGTATGACACTTGACTTAATAAACTCAATTAATATTCTGATAATTTATATGATACTTTCATATAATTAGATAATTGTATGAAAAATATTTCTCGTATAAAATGTAATAAAATAGTTTAACACGTCATGCTGTTACAAACTATTCAAATAATTTTAAGTCATAAAATAAATTATCCTTAAGTATATAAACTTTTGAATTAATAGTTAATTATTAGAAATAATATAAAACAAGAATTTTTAATGCAATTTTATGATTAGGATCAATAGCGAAAATGATAAAAAATTATTTAGTTTTAATAGAAATCAGATGCGAAAGAATTTTTTCATACAAGGAAACAAAGATAAAAATGATTATCAAATACATTTCTAGATAAGATACGTGCAAAAATTAACAAGCAGAAATTCAGTATATCTATAATAATATACAGCTACGATGATATAAAAAACACCGTGCCTGCTGGTAGTTCTGCAACAAGCAGCTCGTTTTCGACATCTGCTTATCGGATATAATTATCATGGGCACAAATAAATGCTACAATCTAGCTTCTAGTACTTTTTTAACAAAATTTCCAAAGTAAATTTATTGATAATTGATTTTAATATAAATCACTACCACTCTAGAAACAATAAGAGTTTTATCCCATATTTATTTGTATATTTTTAATTTTTTAAATAAAAATAAAATATATAGTGTACAAGGTGCTTGCAAAATTTTATAAAATCATTAACGCATATAATTTATTATAAGTTCTATAAATTAATCATATATTTCAATATTATATCGTGATTCGAGTGTATAATATTGATTAACTTTAACAATATAATAACATTACTTTATTGATTATTTAAATTATAAATCCTTATAAAATTAATTCTAAAATTATTTTTTTACTATATAAATTTTTTATCCTAACATCTATCTTAGTAATCGATGAAACTATGAATACAACAGTAAAATACATTTTAATATTTGAAAACCCTTAAACAAAACGATGCAATGATTCATATATTTTGTAAAAACTAGCTTGAAAATTATTAATTTAACATGGAATTCGTAAAGAATAGATTTACAAAATTTTTTCAATTATTTGTAATGTGAGTAGCTCAATATGCAAGTGTTAAAATGGTAATGTTCGAGTATGAAATGCTCATGCACGATATTTGTAAATGAAAATAATATTTCCATATTCCTTCCTACATAACTATAAAGAACAAACGCCATTAATATTCACAGAAATTTGTGCGCTCATAAATGGCAAAAGCCTGCAACAGCATATACAATGAAAAGATCAAACATAAAAAGTTACAACAGACATACATAATATGTCCTCATAGTACATAAACCTAATATACTACACCTTACGAAAAATATGTAAACCCTTACATATTCCTTCACATCTCCTTGCAAAATACAATAGTTATGAGGGGAGAAGGTGAATTCAACGTTCCAGTCAGTCGCCCTCGAGCGCCTGGGGCCGTGGGTGGTTGACTTTCCGGGCTAACTCGTTTTTGAGCTCCATCAGTCTCCCCCACACTTCTGAACCTGGATCGAGCCTCTCCTTCGAGCCCCGGCGAATCTCCTGCCACCCTCGCGAAGCTTCAACCTTCTCTAAGCCAATCCACATTTTGTAAACTCGCTACGACAAATGAAGGTCCAAGGAATATTTGGTTTTTGTTAGATTTAGAAAAATGAACTCATAATAATCAATTACAGACTAAATAAGTTGTTACCATTATTTTTATTATATCAGAAAAATTGTATATTTATATAATAGCAATATAAATAAATTGTGTATGAATATTTATATTAATTTACTTTCGTAATTTTAATTATAAAACCATGTATTGAAAAAATAATTCACGCAAAAATAACTTATTATCATAAAAATTAAAAATTAAATTTTTGTATACCTATATTTATGTTAAAATATAATAGAATATTAAAAAAATTATCAATTCGCTTACATTCCAATAACTTTTTCAATTCTCTACGCTTACTGGAAATTGAGATATAGCACTAGCCTTATTGATCCATTATATCTATATTATAAGCCATTATCAAACATCATGTAATTTTTTGTAAGATAAATGGAATATAAACATATTATTTAACAAGCAATTTGAAACTTTAATAAATTTGTAGATGCTCATTGCAAAAAGATTATTGGTTAAAACTATTATATTGAAAAAATAATTATGTCGGCAAGATTTATGATAAATTATCTGAATAGGTTTTTCTTAGAACAAAAATTTGACGAATAATAAATTTTAAGATGCCATTAATTTAATACTAATTTCATAATCACATATTGATCAAATGAATAATTTTTGTTATATTTTAATTAATGTTTTCATAAATTAATCAATATATTTAATATTGATATGAATCCTCACGTCTTTATACTAAACTACAACATTGTATATGTAATAATTCTACAGCACTATACAATTCATAATTACATTTTAGTAATGTACATATAATTTTGGAAAAAACTTATGACATTTACAAATCAAATCAATATTAAAACAATCATTCGCATTGCGCTAACTAAAAATCAAATGATTAAATAAATGAGTAATGTTTTATTATAATTTATATATTCTTAATAGAAAAATATTATAAATTAATCTGATCTAAATCTTTTGAAAAAAAAATTATTAACTGTGAATTTATTCGAAATAAATAAATGTGGAATACACATAAACATAAATTTGATGAAAGAGCATAGAATAAATAAAGTAGACTTTATTAATATTACATAAAAGTATTTGAAATAAAACGTATGAATTTCACTGCATGACTAGAACGGCTTAGGGATTATTAAAGTTTCGAAAAATGGATAACAAAAAGAGGAGACTAAAGTTACACTATAAATTGGTGAAAGATCTTTATTAAATAATCATAGATTCTAAAATGCATCACAGAAACCAAAGACAGTACCCTTTATTGATCTCAATCTTGAATAAAGATTAAGTTTCTATAAAAAGTATCAGAGGGAGAAAGAATAAGAAACACAGATAAAGACAGAGCCAGATGAAAATTGTTTATAAGTACGTAAGTCAAGAGTAAAGAAGTAACGCGTTACTTTATATCTTTCCTATTTTTTTCTTCCCAAGAGACCATCACACATTTGAATCAGCGTCGAATGAAAGTACTCTTTTTCAACTTATAGTAAATACATTACGTATAATAAAAAAATTCGGTATTACAAATAACAATCGGCTTCTGACTCAACAGATGATGCTAGCCTTCAATGTACAATTCTTCATCAAAATTAGTTATTACAATAAAAAAAATTAATTAAAACCATGACCGTAACTGACTTTATTCTAATTTATTATAATAACTATATCAAGTACAGAGAGGTTACATCATATTTTTTTTTTTTGATATTATAATTGAAATAAACTTCAAATTTATTTGTTCTATGTATTCATACACGAATTTATGTTTCCATTTTAAGATTCTATGTAACATATTCAAGAGAAATTATTAATATTTAACAATTTAATGTTAATATATGACTTTAAATTATTTAATACATATATACGTTTATCATTTGTTGCTACAATATAATGGATTGTAACTGTGTATATTGAAAATAATTATGATAAATTATGATCCATAGGCTATCAAACTTAAATTCACAATAATTATCAAAAAAATTTTAAACATTCTAAATATGAAGCATAAGTTCTAAATCAAAACTCTGTATTTGTATGAGTATAACTATTATTCAAAGACTCCAAACACAAATCTTACATTCGCTCTTAAAAAATTGACTATGGCCTCCAGACATAATTACGAAATTATTTCCTTCATTGGCATGTCCCGCGAGCCAATTCTTGCTTACCCGTTTATATTTCTTTACTGAGCTAATGCATTTTCACTTTTCTTCGACGTTATACAAGTAAAAAAATCTTACAAGCTGCAGTCGAACATAGCCACTGCACTCGGAATAGTTTAAAAAAAAGTATCTTTCACCAATTGTAGCAAACTATAAAATTTTCATAGAAAATTTGTAAGGATGTATATTTAGATATAAAATTATCTTTTTATAACAGCAGACAAAAACATTCACATTTTCGGTCGTTATATAATACTAATATTTTATTTAAGTTTTTTTTCATTTTGACGATTACTTCTATAATCTCACTATAACAATTAAATATGTAGGTATCATAAATGAATCCACGTACAAACTATTATTTGTATATAGGAAAAAATATCTTAATATATATGTAATTTTAGCTATGTAGCAAAATTTTTTTATTGA